TTGATGAACCCCAGGGTCTTGAAGACACCTGTCTGCAATGTTGGTGAGGGGCAGTAACGTGGCCCTCCTGTCTCAGTGATCAAAGCAGCTTGTCCTGCCTCTGCAGGGAGAAGAGCATTGGATCCACCAGCGTTAGAAGTGATGTAAATGTGGACAAAGAATTCTGCCTGCATTTTCAGAAAACAGTGAATTATCTTGTCCATCATGTCCTCAGGGCATCAGCCTCTGTTTCAACCCTAATATCCTATCCTGAGGGGAATTCAGGATGGAGAAAAACAAGGTACTGATCCTGAAAAGTTAAGATGCATATCAGAGAAATAATTTTTGTGAGCCCAGAGCACTGTATCTTCCCATACATAGAAAAGCAGTAAAATCATTGACTTGAGACATCTGTTTTTTGTAATCAGCAATAATCTATTGATTTTAACTACATGTGTTCCGCCAGCCCCAGTAAAATCTCCTGTATATCCTGACTCCTCCCTTACCTCTTTGGAACAGTTCCTCAGAGCTATCTGAGAGTGTCTCCTTGGCTAGAGTCCTCAGTAACATCTCCAAATTAAACATAAATTTGTGACTTTTAGGTTTTGCTTTTTTTTTTCCCCAGTCAATGGTTTTGGTGACTACAGAAGGTACCCAGGGAAACCTTCTCCTCTTCTCCTGAACTCTATGAAGCACTGAGCTTTCTATACCACCAGAGGCCTCTTGCGTCCATCTGCCTCCTTAGGGAGTCCAGATGAACTGAGGTGAGTCTGTCTTGGGTTTTGGATTTCCTGTTATTGTCTGATAATCCTAAACTTTATTCTGTGGTGTTAAGCTCCTCTCTGGAGGAGTAGGTTCTCCTTGAAACTTAGTTTCGAGAAGCAGTAACTGGTTTATCTTCAGTTAAAAGATGTGGGAAGATTTTGCTCAGTTGAAACACATTGAATGGTAATGAAATAAAATCCATATTTATGGCAAGTTGAGAAAAATTTAAGCATAAGACTTTTCTCTGCCCATCTGTGTCTCCTCCTTCACTTTTTTGTGTATTGTGCATCTGCATGAACTAGGCCTCCTTGGGAGAGAACATTTTTTCTTAATTTCATCAAAGAACACGGTTTCTTAGGAGATAATCTTCCTTCTTAATTCTGTGAGGGATCAAGATGACCCAGGCTTCTCAGGTAGATTCTTCCCAGCAGTAAAGAATCCACCTACCAATGTAGGAGATGCAAGAAACTCAGGTTCAGTCCCTGGGTTGGGAAGATCTCCTAGAGGAGAAAATGCAACCCACTCCAGTATTCTTGCTGGGAAAATCCCATAGTCAGAGGAGGCTGGCAGGCTACAGTCCATCAGATCTCAAGAGTCAGAGACTGAGCATGAACAGGATGACTCACACCCATTGTTCTCTTTGTTTGTGTAGATCTGGATTGAGTAAACTGACAATAATATATCATTAATGTATAACTCTTTGTCTCAAAATCTTATACAACTGTGCTTTAGCTTATAACAGGTGGAACAGTCCTCAGAGAGATTTTTGAAAGACTGTCTCTTGGGTTATAATCCTCCAGGTTAGCTCAAATAAAAATTTCTACTTGTTTCTTAGATCGACTATGATTTTTTTCATGAACATTGGATTATTCTCAGTTGAAGGACACTGGAAATAGTTTATTATGTTCATACAGAATTTATTCTTACAAGTATCTGCTTAATTGATAATTAAAGGAAATCTCACCTTAAATTGGCAAGATTGGGGTTCTTTTGACATTGCAAAATTAATATATTTTTGCATGTGCAGTTGGAGAAAACAGTTTGATAAACCATCCTTTTAAAATTCTTACCTTAAAGGAACAAAAGCCCTGTAGTGAAAACTTACATTTCTCTTCCTGTGTCTTTGCGATTAAATGTACCTAATCTTAAGCATTTCCCCACTCTTCCCTGTGTTTTAAGAGCTTGGTCTCTATTATCCAGAGGAACTCATATGGTAGCCAGTGAAATACATTGGGATTCCAAGGAGACTTTTTGTCTGGCTCTGCCAACTCTCAGGGAAATTAGTCATAAGGGATCCCAACCCATAAGGGTCCTTTGTCATCTTAACCTTCTTTTTAATTTCTTATGCTAATTTTGGGAGTAAACTTTCTACATTTTGTGAAGGCTACATCCTTTGCACCTTCTTGTGGTGGCACCTCCTTTTATTTTTGGCTTTGGTGGGTCTTTGGTGCAGCTCTTCGTTGCTACACAAAGCTACCCTCTAGTTGCAGTGTGCGGGTTTCTCATAGCAACAGCCTCTCTTGTTGCATAGCATGGGCTCTGGGCTGTGTGGGCGCAGTAGTTGTGGTGCACTGGCTTAGTTGCTCCGTGGCATGTGGGATCTTTCCAGACCAGGGATCGAACCCATGTTTCTTGCACTGGCAAGCAAATTCTTTACCACCTGGTCACCAATGAAGCCCTGAAATTGAACTGTTTTTACTCTTTGGTTTTCAGAAAACCTTTCCTCTTTTGCTATGATCTACAACAAGTTGTTAAAGTATACATTTGTAAATAAAGATGTAACATTTATCTTTTTCTCTTTACCTGATCCCTTTAGAACTTGGCTTATCCAGCTTGCTCTTCTGTGGATTTGATGATTTATTGTGACCAGATTATAACTAGTTATACTATTCACTGTTTTAATTTGTTGTCTCTTACTATTTTCAAATTATGTATGCCTCATGGCCCTCCCTGCTGTACTATGACTTTATTAATGTCTCTGCTCTATCACTTATATTCTGTCTACTTCTAAGATTGCTATCTCTTATTTTACCCAATGTGTAACCAAGCCTCTGACAAAATTAATGATGGCTAAACATGTTATTCTATCACGTATAAAACTCTACATAGAATAACTGTAATACTGCAACTCTAGATTTTAGGAGAAGCAACAAGAGAAAACATTTCCTGGATCACAGAAGACTAGTGAGACAGGTGATCCATAGAATTTTGGGTTATCAACAGGACCTAATCTGAAAAATTAGCGTATTTTTAAGATTAAAAGGAATCCTTGCCTGATTTAGGAATGAGTCTTTCTAGTGTCCACAGACAAACTGGCGATGAAATGCCTCACAAATCTTGGTCAAAATTTGACCAGGAGGAATTGCCAAGGACGAAGAACATGGTTTGCCGTTTCAGTAAACAATGGATGTTGCCCTCTATCTAGCCATCAGCCACTGCAGCCACCCTCAAAAGTGCAACCAGGGAGGAATTCAGAACGGATAAAAACAGGATACTAGCTCAAGACGGTTAACATGCACATCTAATAATTTCAGTGAGCTCACACTCACTTCCTATAGATAGAAAAGCACTAAAATGATTAACTTGAGGTGCCTGGGTTTTGTGGCTAGCAATAATCTTTTGATGGTCAACTTCATGCTATTTTTTTTTTTTTTCAGCAGAAACATATGCATATTCTGGCTCTCCCCTTAGCTCATTGGAACAGTTCCACAGAACTATCTTAGAGGCTGTCTCCAAGGCTATGTTCCTCCACAGGTTCCTTAGTAAAACATAATTTGTAAACTTTAGTTTGTGCTTTTTTTTTTTCCAAATTGACATTAACCTGGATTTTTTTCTTCTGTTTCCTGGTTATGAGGGCAAAAAGTACCAGTGGCCCTATTCTTAAACAGGAAGTTGCTTTTCAATTTTTGGGGGAGTGGAGGGGTAGATTGGGGGCAAGCAGAGAGGTAGGTTTGAAACCTGCTGCTATAGTGGAAGGAATTGCATAGTTTGCGTGTGTAGAGCATGCACACATATGTTTCTATGTCAGATGTTTCTTAATGCTCAGAGAAAGATAAAGGAAAAAACCAACCAGACAAACAGGCAAAACACAAAATCCACAGACCCTGATTACCCAAATTTGCTTAGAATGCAGAAGCAACTAAGCAGATGTCAATCTTCACCCAAACCAACAGTTTTACAAGCCCCTGCTATTGCCTCCCCACCCCAGAGCCTTAGACAGGGCTCATCCCTGGGAAACTAGGGGTTGGGCCCCACCCCAATGCCCAACATCTTATCCTGTAGCTCTTAAAGTTCCCTTGCCAGCACCTCAACGCCTGTCTTTAAAGTTCTGTGCCTGCGTGCTTGCTCAGTGTGTGTGTGTGTGTGTGTGTGTGTGTGTGTGTGTGTGTGTGTCCGTCCGTGCACTCCCATGCACTGAGATCAATGGCCCTTTACAGTAATCAGTGGCCCAAAACACACCACAGTCCTTCTTCCTCTCCTAGTCTCAGAACAAAACCTCAGAGCCCTGCATCCTAGGGTCACCAGGGCCAGAGGGGCCAGGCAAGCAGAGCTGTGGGAAGGGCAGGGGAAGGACCCCACTGTGCCCCTCACTCCTGTCCTGGGATGAACCATGTGATCTTCACCCAGTGGCAGGTGCGGTGGGTGGGGAGGGCTCCCAGGAGGCGGTCTCCATGGCAGGTAATCTTAAAAAGTAATGAAATAAAATTAATATGTTAAGGCAAGACAAAAATTTCATATGGCCAAATACATTTAACATCATGTTAGAAAGTTAAACAGATTTGTTTATTGCAGGACTTCCTAGGGCCTTGAATAGAGCAGTATGCATTATAAAATTACCTATAGCGGGAAGTGTTTCTCAAACTTGCACGGTCAGGGAACACTTTCCATGCAGCATCTTGGACTAGTGTTCCATGGGATATCCTTTGGGAACAATTAGTTTCAAGCCTCTGCTGGGAGTGATCCAGCAGTGCTGGCTGGAAAGGCTCTAATGACATCACCTCCCACAGTGGCCCACCTCATTTGGGGGCATTTTTAATTCCTTAAGGGGTGCAAAGCCCACTTTCCCTGCTATTTGGAGTTTGAACAGAACAGACCCAACCCTTTTCTTTTTCAGAGTCCTCTGAAAGTTCTGCTATGTCTCTGGATCTTCTGTCTTCACATCCCCTAGTCTGAATGTCTCTGCATTAAGCCAGATGCTCCTTCAGGACAGGAACCAGCTTCACTGTGGGGTCTGCAGTGCCCAGCACACAGCAAACATGCGGTAAATCATTGTTTAGAGCAGAAGTGCATGGAGCCTCCCCGGATTCCTCATGCAACCGCAACTGTGCCCCCATCTCCAGACCTTCCACCCTCCTGGCTGTCTGCGATGATGAGTTGTGGAGCCACACATGGTGCCTCACATGTTTCCAGTGACATTCGGTCTCCAGTGCTCGTTGTTCTATGGTCCCTTAACTCTCCAGATCCCACAGCTCTCTTACACGTAATCTCGAGATGGCGACTTGTTTCCTGCTCAAGATCTTGCACAAGCCGTTCCCTCTACCTTCAGTGTGGCCACCTCTTTGTCAGTCTTCAGTTCTCAGCTGAAAGGTCACCTGTGCAAGAGGATCTTCCAAAACTCATCTGCTCCGTCCCAGGACATTGTTCTCTTCATCGTGTTGGTCACTTCCTGAGCTTACCTTGTTAGAGGATTTAACTAGTTTATGGATTTGTCATCTGACACACCCACTGGAGCAGAGCTCCATGCAAATAAGCATCTAGTCTCTGTGGTCACCTCTGGGTCTCTGGGCCAAGTCCATCCAGGGCGTAGTTTGGACAAATGAACAACTGGAATCAGTGATCATTGGAAAAGGGGGTGTTCTTATCACATGTAGACAATGATAATTATTATGATAAATTGGATGGGGAGGAAACTTTGGGTGGTGATGGAAAAGTTTATGGCCTTGAGACTGTTGATGGTTTCATGAAGTGTATATTTATCTGAAGACGCATTGAGTTGTATACAGAACAGCTTCATGTCAATAATACCTAAATAAAGACGTTTTTTAAAAGCTAACATAAAAAAGTAATTAAGAACCCCACATGATAACATAAAAATCAAGTATAATGTTTGAAAAGGCAAAATCATATATATTACAATTATGATAAGGTAGAAATAAGCTTTACATGGATATACATTACAAAGAAACACATTTGTGTTACTAAAAAAAATTGATCGTGGAGGTCTTGTCATCTAGGACCACACAGACTCTCCTTCAACATTTCATCATAAATGATCCTGTCACTGTTCAGCCAGACATCCCAGGACACAGCGAAGCTGTGAGGTGCTTACTTTTTACCAGAGGCAAATTCAGGAGCTGTGTCTGGCTGCCTGGGCAGCTTGAGGCAGTTGGAGCAATGAAGGACCCTTGTCACCTTTCACTGTGTGGTCACTCACCAGGGTGGGCTGGTCTGCCTGAGAATTCTCATGTCTTGATTAGTTCCATCCCTCTTGAAGTGCACGAGCCAGGCCTCCAGGTGCAGGTGCAGGAAGAGCACGTGTATCAGGAGGGTTCTCCAGGAGACACGGAAGCAGGAACCCCGGCTGCCTCCCTGACGCTCTGGCCTCCATTCCATTTTCTTCCTATAGCCAGAGTGTCAGTTCCAAAGTGGGCCTCTGATGGATCAGCCCCTCCCTAGAGAATGTCAGTGAGGCCTCATCACGTACAGCTAAAAACTTATGTCTCTGGCGTTCAGGTCCATCCACATTGGGCCCTGTCTCCTGCCCCTGCAACACCTACCTTCCTCCCCACCTCACTTATTTTGCCCAGGTAAGACCCAGGAACTTGTGATGACCTGTCCACACCAGGCTGCTTCACAGAAGGGCAAAGACCTAGAACTATCATTCTGGGAGCAATCAGACATGGAGCTGGTGGGATCCTGGAAGCCTTCCTGGAGGAGGTGATTAAAAGTCAAGTCTTTAAGGAGGATAAGAAGAGAGAAAGAACCTTTAGAATTAATTGATTTGCTCAAGTTTCTCCTGAATCTTCAGTGGCAGAACTGATGTGACCCCTGTTTGTCTGTAGGAGGGAGGAGGGAAAAGGGAGAATTGAGCATAGATATCTGGAAGCTGGCCTATTTGCCCACTTGGGTCAGGAATGAGACTTTGGGGTGGCACAAGGTGAGGAGTTGGAGCTGAGACACTTCCCTAAAGCCAGGATCACATGGTCTGCAGCCTCGGAGCAAGGGTAGACAAGGAAAACCAGGTCCTTCAGAAAGAGGAAAGGTCAAGGCTGATACCTACCTCTACAGGAGCTTTTGTTTTTGTCTCCACAAGAGAAATAGAAACTTCAGGTCTTCACTTGTGGATTTGGGCCCAAAAGTTCTCGATCCCTCAGGTTCAATGGCTTTACAAACTGGGGAAATTAACACAATAGGTGCCAAACAGGTGATTGGCATGGAGGGTCCTGAGCAGAAGCAAATGCAATTATTCTTTGGTGAAACCTTAGTGAAACTCCCAACACAGATGTCAGGATCCTGCCAGGAAAAGGGATCGGGTAGAAGGGGTCTCACAGTGTAATGACAAAATACACAAGGGATCAACCCACTGTGAGTCCCAAGAACTCCAGTGAACACAGAACAATCTGAAAAAGAAAACAAATTCACTTAGTATGATAGACACATCAGAAAAAGACAGTGAAAAAAGTACAGGAATATTTGAGTGAGGACCATAATGGATTGAAGATTGTCCTCCGAAAAGGTCATTTCTACTCAGAAAACACATTCATTTAGAAATAGGGTCTTTGGAGACTTATTTAGTTAAAGCCTCTGGGATGGAAAGCATCCTGGATGGAGTGTGGAACAAAAATTCATTGACTGGTGTTTTCATAAGAGGAAGGACAGAGAGGCTTGCACACACAGAATTGAGAGAAGATGAGCACGTGAAGGTGGAGGCGGAGGTGGAGTTAAGTGGCCACAAGCTGAAGTGGGGAACTGCCTTGGATTGAGTGTGCCATGTGTCAGGCCCTCTGATGAGCCCTTCACATGTTTTTATTCATTATTTAACACAAAGTAGGTATTAAGCCTATTGCACAGGTGGGGAAACTTCAGGATCATTTAGCTATGAAGTGTCTGCCGAAGCCCCAGGGCCTCTTTGTAACTCTGAGTATTCATTTTCCTTCTTCCTACTCTGCCTTTCTGGCACCCCCTCCTTCCTTCCTTTTTTTCTGGCCATGACTTTCCCGGCTCCCTGTCTTCCAATGCACACGCCTGGCTGCGGGGCAGGCAGGGCTCAGCCACATCCAGGCTGTGCTCTGACGGGGGCACCACGTCCAGGCTCATGGATTAGAGCGGAGGAGGGGCTACTGGGAGACTCAGGCAAAGATGCTGATTTCCAGGTGGGGGAACTGAGGCCCAGAGAGGGCACAGGTCTTACCCAGGGCCACACAGCTGGAACCCCCATGCCTCTCCTTCCCCAGGTCCTCCCTCTGTGCCATCAAATGGATCCAAAGCTGTCATTTAACCTTAGGTGGAATCAAGGGTGACTTTGGAGAGGTTGGGGGGGCAATTGGGGAACAGACAGCATGACACCCCAGCTTCCCTCACGCCAGTGCCCCTCCCCACCCCGGCAGTGCCCACGGGGAGGCCAGCAGGCTTCAGGGTTCCCCTGGCAACTGGGGCTCAAGGAGCCTTGGGAGTCCAGGGTGGTTCTCAGGATTTGCTCTGTGTTTCTCTTTCCAGCCTCAGCTTGTCCCAGGGTTTATTATCAGCAAAGGTGACCAGGCCCCCGATGGCAGGAAGCTGGCTGGGGCTCAGGGTGCTGGCCCTTCAGCCCTGGGGGCCTCTCAGGAAACAGTCCCTTGGATACAGGGCAGCTGTCCCAGGAGGGGGCGGGCTGGGAGGGGCCTCACTCCCCCCACACTGGACCCTGGAGGAGCCCCTGGGTGAGCAGGACTGCAGCCCTGGCTGGCAGGACTGTCTTGGGCAGGTGACCTGGGCAATTCCATGGTCTCCAGGGTCCCTGCCTCTCTGGCCACATGTCCCTGTCACAGCCCTGAAACCCATTTAGGGCCGTTTTCCTCTCTCAGTTCCAGCCTAAGCCCCTCCTCCACGGGGAAGGTTGGTTCCATGCCTTCATCTCTTCTGGGTCAGAAGACACCTACTGGGCTGCCTCAGGGCCACTGGGACCCTGCAATCCCTCCCTCCAACCCCCGCTGCCCCCAACATCTCCACTCTACTGCCCCAGCCCCCACCCAGTCCCGGGTGCATCCTCAGGGCTGTCGCCTCCCAGGGGTCTAGCAGGTAGCTCCTCTTTCAGCTCCTGCTGTTCAAAGGGGTTAGATTCTCGCATGCATGGCAGCTTTGGAGCTTAAAACCTGGCATTTTAATATTTGTTTCTTGGTTCCTCCAGGACACTCCCCTTGGCGTCATGCTGGGCTGGTGTCTCCCTTTCTATGTGGGGAAACATCACATGTTAAGGCAAAATTCCCCAGGGTGGGGAGGATTCACAACAGTTCCTACTTCCCTTGGCGTCTTGTCCCCACGGCCTTGCCCTCAACCCATGGCTCATCCCTGTTCACCCCTGGAGCTGCCCTCCTCCAGGTGGGGCTGTGTCCCCTCAGATGGCAGCTCCTTCTAGTGATGCTGCAGGAAGTTGAGGCCGGGACACGTGTGTCTTCAGGTGCTGTGGAAGGAAGCTGTGGCNCTCAACCACCATCATCTCTGCCACTACTTACGTCCCGTTCTTGCCTCAGGGCCCCTCCCGGAACCACGCCATCACTGCCACAGCATTCTCTTGCATCGCTGCTGTGGCTTACGGGACTGAATTTGTCTGGACCTGGGTGGGTCACCGGCCCAGAAGGATCATCACCTATGTGCATACGGTGCATGGCCTGCTCAAGCTGCTGGAGAACTTTGTGGCTTGCATCATCTTCGCCTTCATCAGCAACACCTCCCTGTACCAGCACCAGCCAGCCCTGGTGTGGTGCATGGCTGTGTATTCCACCTGTTTCATCCTGGGGACCCTGGCCATCCTGCTGGGCTTGGTCTACTGTGACAACTGGCTGCCCATCCGCTACCCCATTTCCCAGCTTGGGCTGACCCTGTTTTCCATCCTCCTCTACATCAGCGCTCTGGTCCTCTGGCCGCTCTATCAGTTCAATGAGGACCTGGGTGGCCAGTCCCAGCGATCCAGTGATATGACCTGCAGAGATGAGTTCACTACTTACGTGTGCAACTGGGACCAGCGACTGGCTGTGGCTGTCCTGACAGCCATCAACTTGCTGCTTTACGTGGCCGATCTGGTGATCGCCAGCTGTCTGGTCAGTGACAGGCTCCACACACGGGCTCCAGATTTCCTCCACTTATGGAGCTATTATGTCGTCTGATGTCGTCTCCCTGGCTCCCCTCTCTCCCTCCTCACATCCTTCTCCGCTCATTTCACTCCTTTCTGTTTCCTTCCCTCCTTCTGCTCTGTGTCCTTCCTGTTCTGTGGTTGCCCACACCCTGGTTTTGCCTCTTTCTCATTTTTCCTACATTTTCTGCTTTTTGCCCCTTTTCTGGTCATCCTTGATTTTCTTGTCTCCTGTGTCCTGACCCCCTCTTCCCATTTTCCTTCTTCTGATCCATCAGGACCTGAGACTCCTTTTTTCTCTGCCCACTGTCCCCTCCCACCTCCTAAGGTGCTGACTCCACAGCATACAGCCCTCTGTGCAGCTGTTCACACCCTGGGCCTCCGGAGGGGCCTTGTTGCCAAAGCACATCTGTGCCCTTGGCAGTGCCTTAGTTGGTGTCTGTGGGGGGTGGTTTGGGGTGGTGGTGGGTACCTAGTGATTGTGTCCCCTTTCTCCCAGTGGTGGGTGCTGTACGGTGTTCTTCACTTCTAACTGAATAAAAGCGAAATAAAACTCACAGGGTTAGTAATTTCCAGTGGGAAGGAGGCTTAGAGCAGGGAACCTGGATTCTGACACCCCACCTGGATTGCTTAGCCCCACCTGAGACTGGCTCCAGAACTTTTGCAAGCTCACTAAATACCTTCTGCCTAGATGGCATCTTAGAGGAAGCCAGGGGAGGATGACTTCCATCCCAACAAATCTCTGGGTATCAAACAAGTGTAATAGAAAGCAAGCTCTTGTGCCTTGTGCACTGTAAGGCCAAACAATACCAAAATGTCTGACTTTGGAGTAGAAAGAAAGATTTACTACATGATCATGGGAGGAAAAAGGTGGCTCATGTTCAAAAGCCCTGAACTCCCCTAAGAGTATCAGCATATTTAAAGGCCAGGTGAGGGAGGAGGGTCTCAGGATAGCGAGCAGCTCCTATGCAATGCTCTGATTATTAGTCCTTACCTCCAGGAGGCCTGGGGGCTGTGTGCTCAAGGTCTTGAAGTAGTTCTGTTTAGTTCAGTTTAATTGCTCAGTCGTGTCTGACTCTGTGACCCCAAGGACTGTAGCATGCCAGGCTTCCCTGTCCATAACCAACTCCCGGAGTTTACTCAAACTCATGTCCATTGAGTCAGTGACGCCATCCAAGCATCTCATCCTCTGTCGTTCCCTTCTCCTCCTGCCTTCAATCTTTTCCAGCATCAGGGTCTTTTCCAATGAGTCAGTTCTTCACATCAAGTGCCAAAGTATTGGAGTTTCAGCTTCAGCATCAGCCCTTCCAATGAATATTCAGGACTGATTTCCTTTAGGATGTACTGGTTTGATCTCCTTGCAGTCCAAGGGACTCTCAAGAGTCTTCAACACCCCAGTTCAAAAGCATCAGTTCTTCGGCGCTCAGTTTTCTTTATAGTCCAACTCTTGAAGTGGTTAAGATGTCATATTCACTCAGGGTTTTTCACATCTGTAAAACAACTCTGGAAATGTGCATCAGATAGTGCTTTCTAGGTACTTCAGCAGGAGCTAAAGCAGAGGATTTGAGGGAGGGATCTCCAGTATTCTTGCTTGGAGAATCCCAGAGGAGCCTGTGGGCTACAATCCATGGGGTCACAAAGAGTTGGACACAACTGAGCGACTAACTCTTTCTTTCTGGTCCAAGAAGCCCCCGTAGGGTCCTGCTCGGTTACAAAAGAAATGATCAAAAAAATCTCATGGTCTTGGAGACACCTGCCTGCATGTTTGCAAAGGGCATCCCGTGGCCCTCCTGCCTTAGTGTTCCCAGGCCTCTGCAGGAAGAAGCAATGGCCCCTGCTAGCCTTAAAGGTGATGATAGGATGGGTATTTTTTGTTTTGCTTTTCTAGTCTGGGTGGCAAAAATTACTGGGTGACCCTATGCTTAAAGGGAAAGTTTCTTTTCAAATTTTTCTTGGGAATGTGGGATGGGTGGATGGGGAAGGAGGGAGGCGGGCAGGGCACATTTAAAAGAATGACATAGCCCAAGGACAGGACATAAATTGATTATTACTGAGGTGGGGGATAGATGGGCCCCTGGACTGGACAGCTGGTATTTGTCAAATGGGCTAAAGCTGAAGTTCTTTTCTCACCAGACACTCCAAGGACAAAGCTAGTGGCAGAAGCTGAGCAGAGTTAAGCTAGTGGCAGAGTTAAAGCAGAGATAAGGTTCCCACTCCTGAGGTCAAGGAAGACTTCCCCGTCTGCACATGTGTGGAAGGCTCCTTGTAGTTCAAAAAGGAAAAGGGCAGCACCCCGTAATAAGTGTGGACATGCACCCACAGGCTTCTGCATTGGGATTCATCTTAGCAAAAAGTTGTGAACATGTCTTGGTCAAATGTAAACAAAGACCTTGAAGGATTATCCTATAGCAACATAAATCACCTCCTATCGCACTCCTTTCCAAGTGTATATTTCTGGCCTCCTTCTGACTTAAATAAAAAAAACTGTTTCTCTGTGTGTTTTCCCACATGTTATGCTGTGTCTCTAATAATAAACTGTGTACCTGTTTTTACGGTTTTTGCCTTCTTGAAACATTCTTGCTTTCAAACAAGGGGAAGAGCAAGGCCACTTTTCTTTTAGCCTCCAGCTCCTGGTGGCGAGAAGTCTTAGTTTTCATCCAGGCTACCCAGGTTCAATTCCTCGGCAGGAAGCTAAGATCTCTCGTCAGGACCACTCACAGCTGTCTCTCCGAGGTCAATGCCAGATTGCTTTAGCTAAAGAAAGTGGGGGGTGAGGCCAGCATCTTACTTGCAACAGGCAAAATAGGATGTGGGCAAACCAAACAGGAGGAAAGAGTGAAAGGAAGAAAGGAATCAGAAGTCTGTTTAGAGTCGGATGGGCCTGGAATGAATCCCTTAGGTTCTTAACCTCACCTGGAGACCCTCATCCATGTAGTGGGCTGTTTAGGACACGTCCTGCAGGGTAGTGCCCTCTCTGGATGAATAGCAGCCAAGGGAGGGGCGGGGAGAGGCTGGATGGTGACAGGAGTCCCCCAGTGGTGCTCAGCTCCTAGGCCAGTGGTTTATCCATGACAACACAGCATAATCACCTGATGCTCCGGCAGTGCTTCTCAAGCATGGTTCCCGGGCCACCAACAGAACATCAACAGGAGGTTGAGGGTGTCAACTTAAAAAACAGGACATGAGAGTTGTGCATTAAGTTTTATTTGGGACAAAATGAGGACTGCAGCCCGGGAGATAGCATCTCAGGTAGCTCTGAGAAACTGCTTCAAAGAGGCAATTTATATATGATTTTCACGAAAGGGGAATATGTGCAGTCAAGCACGTATTTTTCCAGAAGGTTCCAACTAGTCTCATGAAACTTTTGCTAGTCACGAGGAACAGTGATCACCATGAAGGATTTAGTGCTTTTGTAGATATGAAGAGGTACAAGAATTAGGCTCATAAAATCAGCTCCTGAAAACATCTCTCTGAAGACCTGTCCTGCCAGTACCCCAAGCACAGAGTGCCTCATTTCTGCTCTCCACCCTGAGCTCCTTTTAGGGGGTGTTGAAGGTCAGCAGCTGCAGCAGCACATGATTTAATCCTTATAGAGGTAGATGGCAAGTGCCAATTTGTAGCTGATGGGGGGAACTTGTTGGGAATGCAGATTCCTGGGTTCTACCTGAGACCTGCTGAATCAGAAATTCTGGGATGGGGCCCAGGAGCCCCCAGGTGATACTGCTCTTGGTCCAGTGTGAGAACATGGTGCTCAGGTCCTGGGGTGCTAAAAAACTCCTCAGGTGATTCCAATGTCTTAGCATTCAGAATCACCTCTAGAATGGGACTTCCATGGTGGTAGTGGTTAAGAATCCGCCTTGCAGTGCAGGGGACATGGGTTCAATCCCTGGTTAGGGAACTAAGATATCACAAGCCATGGAGCAACTGGATCCACTGCAACTAGAGAGTCTATGTACTGTAATGAAAGATCCTACAAGATAAAAAAAAAAAATCCAGTGCAGCTAAATAAATAAAAGAAAAGAATAACTCTAGAAGTCAAAATACTAACAGGTTTCTGCCAACCCCGTTGCCCAACCCCAGCGATTCTAGTTCAGTGAACCTGAAACGGAACCCAGGCAGGGATTAAAAACAACTCAGAAACTGATTCCAATTCATAGTCACTACTCTGGTTTGGACCCTTCTCCCCACACACTACGCACAGCCTTTCTTCGCAGGATGGGCCCTGCAGCAGAGGATGACTGCTCTCCTAGGTGGGCCTGTGGTGCAGAGAATAGTCACAGTTACAGACATTTGGTGGCTGCTTGATCTACGACAGGCCTGGTGCTTGGGGGTTTGTATCAACATCTCATGAGAACCCTGTGAATGGTTACATTCCCCTACTTTACAGATGGTGAAACTGAGGCACAGAGAGGTTGAGTCACTCACTCTAGGTCACACAGCTAGCAGAACCAGGATTCCATCTAAGTTCCTCCAGACTCCAGAGACCACCACCTTTGCTTCTTCTTTTTATAAATGAGAGGAGGTGTAACTGAGCTGGAACCCATGAGATCTTCCCAGGACAGGCCCCTCCCCGATATCCTCTGCTTTAGCTCCTCTCTGAAGTTCCCAGATAATAAATAGTAGGGGATGCACATTTCCTGAGATGTTCTGCAGATGTGAAAACCAACCCCCTCTCCAACAAATGGAAGAGGTTAACTATCTGATGACCAGGAGCACATAGCCCCAGGCCTCCTGGAGCCTAAGGACTGATAGAGTTCAGCCCTGTGACACCACCCTGCTGTCCCACCATCAGCCAATCAGAGAATTGTGCAGGAGATAATCACAGACCCTACGACACTTCCTGCTCCCAACGTGGCTTTTAAAACAGCTTTGCTGAAACTCTTCAGGGAGTTTTTTAGGGCACAAGTCATCTGTCTCCTTGCATGGCCCTACAATAAACCTTTTTCTGGTCCAAACCTCAACATTTCAGTTTGTTTGGCCTCACTGTGCATGGGGCCCAAGAACTTGCACCAACAGAGGGATGAGGTGCTGAAG